TGCTTCACCCAAAAAATTTTAACACCTTAGGGGTTTGAACCCTTAAAATTCAAAATTCCAAACCTTAGGGGGGGGGGGGGGGGGGGGGGGGGCGCAAGAGCGTGGTATTTTCAGGGCAGCCATGACTTTGAAACTGGAAGAAAATGAAGGGCGGTACGGTATCTCAGCGATCTTGGTGGTTACTGTCGTCATCCCGACGGTCGAGAGTAGCAAATATACGTTGCATCATCGATACCTTAACTTCATTAACTGGCACCACGGTGGCCCGGCAGGCAGAACGCAAAGGAGGGTATTTCAACACAGTCATCAAACAAGACACAAATACACGAGATATTGACACGTCATGTCAAACTGGATCTACGGGCAAACACGTCAAGAGAGGTGTTCCAAAGTCCTCGCATACACGGGCATGAATGAGGTTGCATGGTGATGGTTCGCAGACGGTTCAAACTAAAGCCGTGGAAAGCGATGCATTTCTTGTTGAAGGGGAATGTCTCAGCGATCTTGGTGGCATGTGTCGTCATCCCGACAGTCGAGTGTAGCAAATACAAATTACAATATCGACACCCCATGGCTGTTTTGAACTTCTGTTGCCAAGGTTGTTAATACGACTATTGCATGCACCCTCTGCTGGGCGACTCCTCCATGAACAAGGAAAAAGTTACGATTGTGTTGTTCCACCTTGGTCCTTTGGCTCGAACGCTCCAGAGTAAACCATGATCGAAGCACGCATTTCGCTCCCAGAGCAAACAACCCGTAAGCAGTAGGAGGTAGCACGGTCACACGGTGGAACATGCATGCCACCGAGCGGATGCCATGGAGCGGGATAGGGAAATATTTTCCAAGAGCAGTCAGCCTCGACATTTCTCAATTTGTAAACTTGAGAGCTATTTCGCACACCAACTCAGCCTCCCTCCCATGCATGCACGCCCCAGGCAACCCGCCAGATGCACCATACGAGCCATCGCTTTATGGATCAAGCGAACAGCACTTTCTCACACATCCTTCAAACAACTTCGAAGTCGCGCTACTACAGTACGAGCATATGCCATACATGTCAACAATGACCCAAGCGGGTAAGACGAATACTGACCACTAACCTGTCCTTCGCGGAATAGGTGGGTCAAGGGCTTCTCGCCGGCGTGTGATTCGTCGAAGTATCTCCCTCGGCCGCCAGCTCTATTGGACCCGGTGTTCTTCGCGCTTGCTGCCTTTTGGTGGAAGTAGTCGCTGACCTCTTGACGTCTAACCACGCCCGTTAGGCTGCTGGGCAAGGAGACCACCATGTCGTGTTCATTGATCTGACAAGACATGGACAGCGGGCGGAAGGGAGGGCGGGAGGAAGAAAGGGAGAAAAATAGGCAGATGAGAGACAGATCGGAAAGGAGGGAGAAACAGAGAATTATAAGACACACGTAGGAAGTACATGGAAAAAAAAGAGGATGAAACATGGTAGAAACCGAGCGAGCCGAACGACGCACAGGAGGCGAAGCAGTACATCATGGGATCGGCTCGGATAGCGCTACTAATGCTTTACCGTAGAATAGCTGCACAGGTACTATCTCGCGGCAAGTACACATTTTCCCTGCTCCCTGGGGCATAGCATACGGTACATCTGTAGCCCCAACGCACACCCCTGACACTGAGGCCACACGGATGACAGCGCTTCGCACCCCAAAATTGCTGCTGTGCGTATCTGCATACCTAGATCGCAGATCTTCATACTTGTACTCGCGACGAGCTTTCTCTGGTATTATTCAACAAACCTTGGGTCGAAAACCACGCCACCTGTATCTACAGTACTTGAAGAACGTTCGTGCTAGGGCCACCGACCTTGAAGACGACTCCCATGGCAAGAGTGCCCTTGTTCAGCTTCTTGAAGGAAACCATCTCGAGCCGAGGAGCCCTCCCCGAGTGCTCTACAAGCATGCCCGACCCCACCTCGCTCGCGGTCGAGCCTCTCTTCTGCGGACAGCAGGGAAACAAGACAACACAATGCGAAAGAGAAGGGTGAGAATGGAGTGGTATCGAGCAGACAACCCGGCTGTCATCGCCGTGCACACACCAACTATGCCAGTGCCACAACACATAAACGAACTTCCGTGTTGATTTTGTCATTGGAGTGTTACAGGCACATCAAACACCAAGGAGTAAGTGGGGCATGTATGCGTCGGATATAGGGTCTGGCAGCAGCAGCAGCACAATAACCTTGGGCTCGGAAGGGTGAGCGATACAATGCAGTTGCAGTGTGATCTACTGCTGGTCTACTGGCCGCAAGCATATGGTATGCATACATGCAAGGATGTACACTTGCGCGACCTCGAGCCGCGAACAGCTCAAACTCCAAAATCTCGACAACAACAACAAACAACAATTCGAGACCCACCTTCCCCTTCGATGCACCGATACCGCCGGGGCTCGATGCACTGCTCTCGCCGCGAGGTCTCTTGCCTGGCGCCGAAGGCCTGCTCTGCTGCTTATCGCCACCGCCACCGCCACCGCCACCGCCGAACAGCCAGTCCTTGTCCTTGCCCCCCTTGCCCTTCTTACTGTTATCTTGAGGCGATGCCGCCCCGGAGGACTTGCGTTTTCGAGCATCTTGCTTGCCGCTGCTCGACTTGGGCGTGCTGGATGCTGCTGCCGCGTCTGCTGCGGCGGCGCTCTTGCCTCGCGGGAAGAGATCGAGGTCCGTCATCTGGCGCCGCTGCTGCTGGGTGTGTGGGTCGGAAAGGGATATCCCAACCATGAATGAGGCATATTTTAAACAACAATGGCATGGGCGAGGTTTAGATCAGCACCACAGCAGTACTTGTAGGCAAAGCACAGCCAACACATGTTCTTTCAACAAATGTTGGAAGGGAGAGAGGCAGCGGTGCGCGTGTGATGATACTAACGTGGTGCGTAGCAGCACGCGTTTGATTATGCATGAGATAGGAACTAGCGCCATCACCAAACGCACGTCTTTGTCGCGCTGATCCTAGCGGGTGGTACAACGCGTCTATCCGGCAAAAGCGCGCGAGTCCAGTCCACACGATCTCATCATCTCATCGCAACGAAGGAAAGCCAGTCAAAATGTCAAGAGTGCATCCCCTCGATCTCGTAAGTCAAATTCAGGCACAAACTAAAGCGTCTACCGAACGAGAGCCGAGAGAATAGCGCTACGTCCTCACATTGTATATCTCGGGGGGGTCCTTCAAGAGTACCAAGGTCTGTGTTGTGTGTGATGTTGGACCAGCTGATGGGTTGGGGTGGTGTGTGAGCCGCCCTTGCCGTGGGGGGCTCCGTGAAATCGAAGTTTCGGTTCCTGCGGCGTGTTTATATTTATTTTATTTTAAATGCGGTGCAACTAATCAACCGCACCAGACGACATGCTGTTGATACAAGACACCACAACATCTTCTCATCGGAGGGCGAAGGAGGGGTTGGAGCCGTCAAGATAAGCAGAGGCTAGATTTTGAAGCATGTGTGTGGTCATGATTCCGCTTGTGATTCACGGTTGGCCGTGCAAATTCGGTGAGAAAATGATAACTTTCTTGTACTGCTGTACAGCAGCAGCTAATCGTGTCACGGATCTTTACAGACCGCTTGCAGTTGCGAAGTTGCGAGGCTCCACACAGCAGCAGCAGTATTCTACTGCTGTACTGCTAGAGGGCAGCAGAGAGCGCTCATCAGAATCAATCTCTAAACGCAACTGTTGTGTTGCACGTATGCAACTTATGCAGTAAGTACACCTGCCGCACCAATCGCAAGAGTTGGGAGTTGCCAGGCGGTCAGGCGTGGGCACATGAACAGGAACTGCAACTTAAACCTCTACGGCAATAGTCTATACCCCCGCATTGATTTTTCCTAATACTCCGTGTGTACGTGTACAGCAGTATCGCACGTGTTTGGTGGTGGGAGTAAGAGACGTGTGAACAATCTGCTGTGCCAACAAGATACGCCAACTTACACAAACATGCGAACCTGCTTTCAGCATCGCTGTTTTTTCTCAAGGTTGTCGGACCATTCGTGTCGGCGCTGTTTGCTGTACACACCATAGCAGCAGTACAGTACAGCATAGTGTACAATGATAACCGTGAACGTGGAAATGGTTCACGGTGTTGGCGCCAAGGGTGCTGAGAGCGACGAAAATCTAGAAGGAAAGACATGTGCATATGACGCAGTGGGATCATGGCCACTTTCCTGTTGTCAGAGAGGGTCAAGACTATACACTTCAAGATTTGCCGGGAGAGAAGTGGAAGAAGGGGGGAGAGGTAGGAAGTAGGGAAGGACCACCACGTCTGTACGCGACCGGTATTGGGTTGCTAAGGAGTGCTTTGCTTTTTTTGCGGTGAAATCAGGATGCAACCTTCACCTGCCGCTCTGGTTCGTGTCGCGACTACACAGCAGACTGTACATGTATGTAGTATGATAGCCTGTGACGGAAAGAGAGGCTCTGATTTGGGCTGGATCTCGTGACTTGAGTGGGTCTCGCTAGGCATGTGCTTGTGGCAATTCGTGGCCACAGGCACATGGTTGTGTGTATGGGAAGGAAGTCACGCTTTCAAGAACGATTACCAAAAGCTACCGACCTGATGGTAGCAGCCTCTCGATCAGTACCGAGTTCGAAGATGCGCGCTTGAACAGCGGTAGAGAGAGCGCCTAGAAGGAGGCTTGTGGAGCATGGAGAAGGTCTCCAGTCGTGGATACGGTATGCACTTTGATAATTGCTGAGCACTGTAATGCCAACGGAGAAGTGGGCTTCGTGGGGCAGCACGAAGCCCGAGACAAGGGGTTCCGCATTTGTACAGAACTGTCAACACCACCCTATGGGAACAACGCTAATCCCGAAGGGTGCAACGCCCTGTACCGTACACTATGTAACCGTAACAAGTTGCCCCGTCTTCAAATGAATACTCACCGCTAGTTCGAGCCGAGCGCGGGCTGCACCAAAAGGGCATGCACAGCATTATCCCTCGCTCGGCAATCACTGTACGAAGTTCGAACCTTGGGAGGTGTCTTCTGAAAGTCATTGGAACCAGTTGATTTCTGAAGGGTGCGAGCGTTAGGGTTGAAGGTGGAAGGTGGGATGCTTTGATCAAGAGAACCATCCGCCGTGCGCGACATGGGATTGTTGTTTTTATCTTCGTTGAAATTGCCACTTTTAGACTATCTAGATACTATTCTCGAGTGGGACGTGTATCGAGAAGAGTTGAATCATGAATGACGCTTCTATCCCTTGAGCCAAGGTTCCCGCGAATCTAGTCGCGCCTGGAAACAGACGTGTGAGTGCACATGGCTTCATTAGAAGTACGCCAATGCAACCTGGGTCCTTAACTACGGACTGAGAGATCGTTCATGGGTGTCATGTGCTCATTGCCTGTTTGAACCGCTCGGCCGAACACCTCTGTTTTTCGATGCATGCGTGGAATACAGTGCCCAGCGTGTCCTACCTCCTACTTATTGTACCCCAGGACTGCGTTCACCAATTTTAGCTTTTAGCCAAACTATTGTAGTGTTGAGGGCACTACTCCGGGGTGGACGAAGCATTTCACGAGCAAGCTTCGTTGGTATTGTTGATTAAGTGACCGGCACGTACTGACCTGTGTTGGATTTACAGAAGAAGCGACGAAAAGTATCCTGTATTAGTTCGAACATTCACCCTCCATAATCTCCTTACTTCGACAGACTGGGCTGCACAAAACATTTCAACCGGCCGAGTACTGTACATGAGTCGAAGGTCCTGGGGAATCCAACTGCTGAACAAGTTCTGCCCCCCCTGTTTGACGATGGTGTTCGGTTGTGCTTCGCTCTGTTGTTTACATGAAACGTGTATCAGGACGCCAATGACACCCAAACGTCCGGCAATCATCGACTTGTTGCAACATGAGACGTGGCGGAAGCGGCGGGGGAGGACAGGCGGGGCTTAGGTGCCACCCACGGTAGGCCTGACGTCTGCACCTGGACCCTCGGCCAGTACAGCTCAACCATCCTCAGTAGTTGCCGACGCTGGATTACCGCCAGGTGTTTGCAGCACGGTAGTACGGTTCGCTTCCCGGAATTACCACACGGAAGGAATCGGATAACGCAGGCACGGCGCTTCCGAATGGGACGTGAGCGATGACACATACATGTCGCCCAACGACTATTCATACGGTACGAACGACGGTCCCTTTTGGTCTCTTTCCCAGCAAGTCCACAAGTGCGCGAGTTAGGTGAGTCTGCCGACATTGAGAGAGTGAGAGTGAGAGTCGGATTGGTGGTACGCATATGCGGAGTGGGGGAGGGGGGGGGGGGCAGCGATGGAAATTGTGACACATACTACGGATGGATAGATCTGGTTATGGACCCCCCTGGGGCGGAAGAGGCCTTGGCCTTGGGTGCCGTTTCAGGTGTCGGATGACCTCCTTGCAATTTCTCGTGTGTGATCCTGCGCACAGGCCTGTCGTTGTCGAAACAACGCGCACGATAACCTTCTATATTTATTGGCCGCGTCTCACGATTGTGCCGACGTCCATGGGGACAGCTCTCACACCATCCAAGGTGGTCGTAGATTTTCCCCTTCGTAGAAGATACGCTATTCTTATATTCTTGCCCTATAATGTACGATATTATTTTCATGTAATTTCCCAACAACACAGATTCACGCGCTCGTGCTTCCGTGGAGGTATGTTCCTGCGTGAAGAATGGCGACCAAAGGGGAGAAAGTCACTACTAATATTCAGTATCACGTCGGAGAGGAGGCGCATCTTTGGAGTGGCTGGCTCGATGTTTGATGTTTGTTCAAGTTTCCTTCTCTGAGCGAGGGGGAGTGGCATTAACGGGGGCGGAGGGGGTGGTATGAGCGGGAGGGGAACGGTACGGAGGCATCTCGATTGAGCTCTGTGTGGCCGTCTTTGTCGTGTAGTGTTTTGCTTCCATGACTTTGGTAATGCACCACAAAATTGTAAGGGCTGAGGTGCAAGTCGGTTGTGTCGTTTGGATTTGCTTCAGCCATTTTACACCCAAAGAGTGTTTTTTTTTTTTCTGACCTCGGCGGGGTCAACGCGTAGAAGCCAATACGAGTAGGTGCTGCCACCACGCTGCTACTTTCTTGCGGCACGTGAGTTGCACGCAGAAAACACGAAAATACAACCGTTCTCTTTTACCTAGCGCTTGTTTTGAGTACTATTGCGGCCCAGTGAAGCACTGCGCCATGGTTACGAAGTGTGACGGACCAATACAATACTACTGTTACGTTGCGGTACGATTATCAATTCAGTCCGAATACAGATCCTTTCGCGTACATACTGCATCTTGAGCGAAAAACCAGCTGTGGTTGTAGCTCTGGGCGGTGCGGTTCTCGACGTCTTGAGCATGCCCGTATCCTAACGATTCTTCCGTTCCGGGCCTCTCTGGCACGAGACAAGAGGTATTGCTTCGGTGGCCACGGGCCTAGTGAAGAAAACCGACGCTTGCGAGTAGGCGCTGCTTCCGTGCTGCGGCTCAAGATTTTCTCGAGGGCTTTCTTGAAGCGAATGGCCCGTCTGTGGCGAAAGACCCCATGCATGCGGCGGACCCTTACACCGATTGACTCAGGACGAGCGTGTGGTGTGCCAACCGGAGATGATGGTGGCGGAAGTGACTATTTATCGTTGCACGGAACCCACGCCATGCACCCGTAGTACAGCATTCAATTCATTGTGAAAGTTTTCCAAGGTTCCCGCATTCAGCAGC